TGAAGTAAATTATTTTTAATAAATAAATGTGTTATTTAGCTTTTGCGTATTTCCCATTACATATTATAATAAGTATTTATTTTTTTTTAAATTTTTATTTATAGTAATAGTTTAATAAATAGTAAGTTAGCATTATCAGGGTGAATGCCCAGAAGTTATTGTCATTGTCCCCGATCTCTCATTTTAATGTTTACATTTGACAAGCCTGCAATTTGATATTTTCCCTTAGAAGTCAATGGAACTGGTAATCTTTTGAATTTGAATGAAAAAAATTTATTACTCGGTTTTAGAAAAATCTCTGAATTAAAAGTGTAAAAATTAAATTAACTGAAATAGCAATGAAATCAAGGAACTGTCGGTACAAAACTGTCAAGGCTCCACTGCACATAATATTGTACATAATTTACACCTTGTTTGAGTACAAATTGCTTCTAAATGATTTATGACGAAAGAAAATTAAGTTACGTTAAACTAATTTAAACCTATATTTAATTAAAAAAATTTTTAAGCTCGGAATTCCAACATACATTACTTAAAGGCAAAAAATATAGTCTGTAAAACTGTCATGATAATGATAAATCAGGACACTTAAAGTCAATGCTTAATAATATTATTTTTTATAATTGAATAAAAACTTATAAAAGTTTTTAACATAAAAATAAAAGTTATTACATTTTCAAGTTTTATTTGAATTTAAAATAATCCCTTTACAGTCGTTATCTTGAAATTTATGTAAGCAATTTTTTTTGTGTTTGCTCCATGTATATTTAAATATGGCTTAATTAATCTACTTCAGTTTTATTTTAATATCTTAAATATATTATGAAATTATCCGATAGTTATGGCAAATAATTTCACATTTTAAGTGTAAATATGTACTTTGTTGAATTTGTATCAATTGAAAATCTATTAGTCAATAATAACTAACGAGAAACAATTATTGCAATTCAAGTTTCATTGCTTTAAGTCTTTTTCAAATATTTACTTCAGTGTCTTAATCCATTCAAATACCCTTTTTAGGAGCGAAACTGTTCTAAAAATACTTCAAAAGCATAATACTTCATACGCACACAAAAATTACTTTTTGCAAAAAAATTTGAAATAAAAATTCTTTTTTAATATTCCATTCTTTTAAATGTTCACCCTGGAATTGAACGGCCTATCTATATCAGATTTGTAGTTTTTACCCTTTAAACTTGTTATTTAAAATCATGAACAGAAGATAAGGGAACTTTTGACTCAAGCATTTTATCAAGCACTAGGACAAACTAGCCTTCGTGGAAGACTTTTTTTAATGGAACTAACCCGCATTGGCGTTACATGTGGAGGAAAACCACGAAATCCTCCTATGGTTTGCCCGACGACAAGGAGATTCTAACCCATGATCCATCTATCACTAAGGATATTTTACGTTTGCACTGTGGTTGGTGCGAGCCGAGAGCAGAATTCGTATCAGCCAGCCACAGCTGGGATTCAAACCTGGGAAACCTCATTGAGAGGCGAACTCGCTATCCTCTGAGCAAACATTTTATGTATATATATAATCATTGTTGAACAGCCGATCCAATTTTATGGGTTTACGGCTACTAATGTTCTACTCCGTAGCCTTGTAGTTTTGAACCCAATCCAGAAGACGAGGGAACTCCTGGATCGAGTATTGGGAGAAATTTGCCCTCGTGGAGGACTTTTTGATGGAGGTAACCCGCATTTGCGTTATATGGAGAGGAAGACCACGACAACCTCCCACGGTTCAGGGCTAAAGAGAATAGAAGGGCGGGTTCACTTCCTTAAAAAACTCTCACCGCGCCAATCCTCCAATTTTCTCCAGTGACGTCACTTTGGCGCAAAGCTCGCACTTTTACTTCAAGAATAGAGCGTTCGGCCTTACTAGCTCTAACTAATATTGGAGCATTTCTTTTTGTGACTTATTCTAAGACATTTGTTATTTTCTATAATGACTTTCCTCAGTTTTTGCCGTGAATTTACAAAATTGTAAAACTATTAACGAAATGTCAGTTTGCGCGATTGCAACTTGCAAAAATTCTGATAGAAAAACAAAAGGAAAAAATATAATTTTCCGCGTGTTCCCTAAAGTAAATGAACAACTATGTAAAGAATGGATTCCGAAGTGACACAGTTAATATAAAACTGCAATACGTTTTTTCTATCGTTAAGAGCTTTTATAAAAATTCGATATCTAAATAGAAACCGCCTCGTTACTTCAAAAAGAAAGGCTCGTGAAAAAAATTAAAAAATGGATAAAGTCAAAGAAAATTAAAACGTAAGTAAAAAGTATAAATAAAATATATAGTGTACAGTTGAAATTCTCCTAATTTCATAATTTATTTTTTTACTGTAGTTATTCTAAATATTTATGATTCTTTTAAAAATTATATTCCCTTGAATTTAAATATCTATAAATTATATCATCTTAAATTTAAATATCTATAAACAATTGTAAAATTTCTAATGTCATTATGAACCTAAATTATTATTTTGTTTCAGTAATAAGCGTTTAAGGTTCATGTTTCCTAATGATTATGTATGAACAAATTGCTATTAACGGCATATTTTAAATTCGGGGATTCTAAATTTAACTCAACTTATTGTTATAAAAGAATATGTAGATAAAAAAGTGTCGATGTATGCTTTCATTTTTCTTAATAATTAAAGTTAAAACTGAACTTTTTAAAATAAAGTATTTATAGTGTCATTTTCGCCAACGAGTAAGATATTTTTATAAGTTTTAAATGGTATTTTTTTAATATAATGGCCAAGAGAGTTTTTTAAACTATGTTTACGAATGGAAATAATGTGTTAATTACGTAAAGTTTGAAAGCTAATAACCAGAAAAAGTCTAACTTATTTTTACAAAGAGAAGGATGCAAAGTTATCATAATATCTTTGCGTGCGATCTTCCAAGATCCGTGAACACAGTGACGTCATGAGGAGGGAAATCGTCTCTTCAGCTCTAAGAGCGGAGTGAACTAGCCCTTCTATTCTCTTTAGCAGCTACCCTACAGCTAGCCTGATGGCAAGGGGACTCTAACCTAACCCATGATCCTTCTACCACTGAGGATATTTCACGGCAGTAGTGTAGACGGTGCAAGCCGGATGCGGAATTCGTATCGACTGGGATTCGAACCCGGTTCGCCTCATTGGAAGGCGAATGCTCTATCCATTGAGCCACCGCTGCTCTGGATCAAGCATTGGGGCAATCTTGTCTAAGTGGAGGACTTCGAGTAAAAATAACTTGCCTTATGTGGAGAGAAAAACTTCACCCGAATAGCTCGATGCCAATGGGAATACTAACTTAGGATACGTTAACCTATTTTTCGCGAACACTGTGGGTCCCGCAGTGGACTGATCGTTAAGACACGGTTCTCAGCAGATCACCGAAGTCAAGCATCACTGGCTGCGGTCAGTGTGCGGGTGGGTGACCACTTGGATCAGCCTGCGTAGGGACCGAGGGTGTGCGGTATTGGTCCTCGTTAAACTGTTCTACCGTAAAGTGCTCGACTTCGCGTGCAGGTCGTCGGGCTACCGAAGCGGGGGTGCCATCCCCTCCGCAGAGGATCAAAATTGTGATGGCATGTCTTCGGATCATCCTCAGGGATGTTTCCCAGACCGTCGCCAATAGCCCATTGTGCAGCTCTAGTGCGACGTAAATTAACTACAACTACAACACTGTGGTTGGTGCGAGTCGAAAATATAGAATATTAAATGGAAGTGGTATGAAGTAACGTGCAATCGCAAGAGTTAAAGAAAAATAATGTTTATTGCACACTTCTTTATTCAGTTAAAACAATAATAAAAATAACAAATCATTCTTAAAGAGTGTTTTAACAATCAATTTTTATTCATTTCATTTACTATTTTCGCTGTTGGGTTACTAACATTTCGTAAAATAGAAACATTTATTCTTAATTACTAAAAATAAAGAACTTCAATATTTGAAAATATGATTATTAATTTATTGTTATATGATGAAAATATGATTTATTAAAAGAAATTAAATAATTCAAGAAAATATGGGAAACACAGGAACGGTGTAAATATAGGACTGCCGAAAACCAGTTTAGTTCATGACTTGATTCGAGTTGGCTCAATTTTGAAAGTGAAGTACATCGTAACATTTTAAAAATCTAAACTGCAGGTGAAATTACATATTTTCAATATTAAATTATCTATAATCATGTAATATTTTACAAACGTAAGTGCAATTTGTGTTACATGTATCCGAATTTCAGCATCTTTTTCTGGTAAGAAATATGAAAATGCAGCTAAATGTGTTACCTAAAGCCGTTACAACTCTGTACTCATACCTGGATAAAAAGACATTGAATGAAAATTTTACAACGCAAAAATGACACACTCTCTCTAAAGAAGGCTGTATACAAATAAACCCATATTTTATCTAATAGTTGTGGGCCGCCAAAAACTATTTAAAACTTTTGGGGGCGTGAAAATTTTTTAAAACACTTTCTCCTTTTTTTCTTTTCATTTCGAGATGGTTTTTTCCCCTTTTCATTGAAGTCTTTCCCAAAAGCAATTTTTGTTTATATCAAAGAAGAAAAAAATGTTTAAATAATGAACAACTTATTTTTTTTTATCAAATACTTCAGTCAATGCGGCTGAAATACTTTTTTTCCCATGGAATTGTATAAAGTTTTAGATCTTGGTAGTTTTTAACTTTTTAAATTGAAATCTAAAATTAAAGGATATTTTTTTATTTTTTTCAAACAAGCAAAAAGTTTTATGAATGAATTTTTCAAAGCAATTTTCAAGCAGATTTCACGACTTTTGAAAATTTCCTTAGACTGCAGAGTGAAAAATCACTGACCTAGTAAAGTTGTGTGCAATTAGTAGAGTTACCTTTCACTAAGTTCAGTTTTATTTGAAACTTATAATGGTGTTTATTCTGACCGAGGGTGTCTCTAGTGTAGCGCGCCGCATCTTTCAATGATGTCACAACCGGAAATCTGCTACACGTAGCCAATCGTCGTTGCCGGTAGTGGAGACGTCACCCTTTCATCCCGCAGCTGTGTTGGCCGTGTAGCGAGGTGGGTCACGACCACAGCAAGGAATGGGCTCTGTGTAGATTATGTTCAGAAAATGACAGTTGCAAAAAAGTGAATTTTGGTTTGTTATGATTAGTATGGATCACATTTGAATGACCGGCATTAAAACTTCAACAATACAGCTTACCATAAATTTGTGTGTGCTGCTATGGCCTACAGCAATGTCAACAGATTTCTTCTGCTGTCTGGGCTACAGGAGTGGTCCACTTCTCTCACAGGTTGTACTGCTCCATATTTCATCGAGGAGCTATAGTAAGCAACCGCTCTATATAGCATGGTTTTTCTTACCCAATACAATAACTATTTTCTAACGTGTGAGTAGGATTTCCTATTAGTGTTTACGATAATATATTACATTATTTAAGTTAACAAATTGAAAACTAGATTTACTTTACTTTTTGTCCACTTTTTTTTCCAAATTTATTTTTCATTATGAATCTATTTAAATGAGTAACTATTTTCAAACTTATTATTTTATTATGTTGTTTATACTTATGTTTCAAACTTATTATGTTGAGTTTAGATGGCATAAATACGCATCTTCTTTAACATTGGTTGGGTAGTATACATTTTCATAACATCAAGTTCTTTGCATTTATTCATAATAAATGTCGCTGAACGATATTCTACTTATGTTTTCTTCCTTTATTTTCTCTGAGTTATGTTTCGTTGAGTTTCACGAATTACAATCGCACAGATTTATTATTTTTATTTTGATATAATTTATTAGTTGGTGCCTGATAATCGTTTGCAAATTATTTTGTTCAATTATGTTTATTATTTTTGTGCTTTGATATTTTGTGTAATGAATACTAGATATAATTTTTCAGTACGTTTATGAATAAATATTTTTAAACGATTTCAATGTTCGTTTGTTATCAATTTTTATTAAACATCTTTATTACGTTCGTTTACATTCGTGTCAGAGATCTAGTTTCTCACAGGGCAGTGAAAAAAAATAAAAGGAAAATCCACCAGCAAGTATAAGTTTAAAATTTCTGTATGCTTTTAGGACAGGTTATGTTAATATAAATAAAATGTATTAATTTCATAAATTTTATTTAAATTTTTAAATAATGAAATTTGAGTTGTTGATTGAAATATAATTTTTATGAAACATGTAATTCTTACTGTATATTTAACATTTTTCATGAAAATATTTTGTTTGACTTCTATGTTGATTTAAAGGTGAGGTCTTATATAATTTGTTATACATTTTATTTTCTGAAAATGTTTTTAATTTTTTTATGAAATTAAGTTTTTCATTCATTGTTTTATTCTAAAAATAATTCTTATTTTTGCTGTTTTATTTTATCAAGGTATATTTTTAGCTTTTAAGATTAGTGTTGAAAATTTGAAATAATGGATATTATTTACAGAAGCTTAACACTTATCAGCACATAACTGAATTTAGCTAAATAACTTCTTTTATTTTAAATAAAGTTCTGAGCACTCTAATTGCTTCAGTTTTTTTTTTTTAAATTATGAACAATTTTAATTCGACATTTATGTATAAAAATTATGTTTGAATTTAGTAATAAAAATACACCCAGTAATAGACAATATGAATATGTTTAATTGTAAAATTAATTTAAAAGTAATTAATGCTAGTGTTTTTACATAATAGAAATTAAGCATAAAGTGAAATTACAACTATGTTACTGTTTTTGACAGTGTATTTTAATTATATACGTAAAGTTCATTATTTTATCGCATTAAAATTAGAAAAGGTTGGCATAACTCAGATTGCTGGGCTGTTTTTAAATTCCTTGCACTTTTTTTGAGAAATGTTTTTGTACATAGTGTTTCTTAAAATACCATTATACTTTTTGTATTAAAAATATTCCATTGTTAGACAATCAAGTATTCTGTTGCATAATTTTAATTAGTGCATAGTAGGCCTAGTGCATACATTAAGCAAAATAAAAAAACAAAACTGTAGTAATTTATGAAGTGATTTTATTTTCAATAATATTCATTTTTCAAAAAGCCTGTTAACAATATATAAATTAATGCTAACTACTAATTAAGTTACAATATTAGATATCAAATGTTTCCTCATGAACATATCTTTTTTTTTTGTTTGTCTGATTCTTTATTATCCATGTGCCTGGAGATAAAATTACTTGTTTATAAGAAAGATGAAAATTAGTTTTAAATACAAAATTAAAGTTAACTCTTTCTTTTCAAGGGACTACTTTGTTTTGCAAAAGATATGGTTGATAGTTAATTTGCTTTAGTTATTATTAGTTATCTTCAGCATTATTTATTAGTAAAATAAATTTTATTTTGATGTGATATTATATTTCTTTTATCAATGTATTTCGTTTAATTTATAGTGACAAGTTAAAAATAGACAATTTTCACTTAATTGATTGTAAATCAGGGTTGGCAGGTTTTTGACATGTGAAAGTTTTTGACAGTTTAAACCATGGTTTAAACCGTCATGTCAAAAACCTCATTGTCGAAAATGTCAAAAACCTATATTCATATGTGAAATTTAATTAATACATAAAATTTATATATTTTTTAAAGGATAGTGTTTCTAAATATGTTCTAGAAAAAATAAATTTAAAATTTTGAAGAAACACTTATATTTTGAATAGTAACCAAAATCTTGTACTTTTGAAAACTCACATCTTTTGTAATATTATGTATTCATTTTCATGTGTTATTGAAAATCTGCAGTGATATTATTAAGAAATTTATTTATAACCAAATTTAGTGTATAGTATAGATTATACTAAAAATTAGACATTTTTAAAGATAAACATTAGCAGTTTTGTACATTAGACATCTTTTAAAGAAAAATCTTTTTAATATTCTTTTAAATCTTCTTAATAATCTTTTTAACATAAGACAATACAAATTTAAGTGCTTTCTGTTAAATACACAGAGTAGTTAGTGTCGATTTACAGTATATTCAGCCTATTCATTTACTATGCTGAAAATTTAGTTTATCCAAATACTTGTGAATTTCATTTTGCTGAATACGATATAGTTTTGTTGAATATCTAAATATTCAGCTGTTGAATAATTACTTCTTGCTTTCAAGATATGCATTATTTGTATTCTTAATACAAGTGGAGAAAAAAAAATTAAGAGATAAAAATTGTTTTAAAATGATAAGTGTAATAATTATAAATAAATATAATAAACAATATGAATTATATTTATCATTATTCATAAATATAACTACTTTTAAATTCAAATTAACATACTGGATAATAAAGATATTCGGTATAACATTAAAAAAAAATTTTTATACACTTGTATCTTATATCAAGTTTGTATTTATACAACATAACTTGTAAGTTCCTTATAAATATTAGTTATATGTTCCTTATATGTCAAAAATGCATAGTAATAAACTTTTAATTTTCTTAAGTATCAAAAAGAAAAAAAAAAATTTTTTAAATATAAATATTTAAACAATTTTTGTGCAAAATTTTTCTGCACATGCATTTGAATATAAATTTCTGAGATTTTAAATCTGTTATTTTACCTTAATTTTAATTAAAAAATATTTTAAAACCTGCTGATTACCTATAGTATAATTAAATTTCAATATAATGCATGGCAACTGTTGGTAGTTTTGAAGTTTATATATTTTCTTGGCAAACTTCAGTTTTTGACATTTTTGACGGGTTTTTGATGGTTTAAACCAGTATTATACCCTTGTCATGTCAAAAACCACTTTTTGACGTCAAAAACCCAACCCTGTTGTAAATGTATAAAAACTTTTCATAATGCCATTTTTCCAAATTCTATTTTATGTATAGTTAAAAACTATACAACACTATGTGTAGTTTTATTTTTATTAAAGTAACTACTGCCAGGAGTAGCAAAATTTTTTTTCTTTAAAGCAGGGATAAACCCAGCATTAAAAACTCTCAGTGCAACCTTAAAAAAATTGCTTTTATGTCTTTTCTGTTTTCTCTTAGTGATTGATATTTCAGTGTAGTTAAAATACTATAAACTTTTATTATTCAGGAACGGTTAAAATTTTTTAATGAGAGGTAGTTCATACAGAAAAAACTTTGTAATATTTAATAGTGTCTAATAATAAGATATAAGAGAAAACAATTTCTATCTTACCAAGAATGTAACATAAAATCTTGATATCAAACAAAACATGAAATGAATTTAAATGTTATTTATTCTGTTGTCACTTAATTAAGTCATAGTTATTCCAAAAAGAAAAGTTTTATGTTGCTTAAGTATAAGAAAGAGATAGACCCACTAGTTTAAAAGTTATGTCCGTGTCCCAATGGTGAAATATGAAAAACATGCTTGTTGTATTCAGTAGGCTTTTAGTTACAACTGCCAATCCAATAAAGACATGACCCTCTTTCATGCAAATGCGGTAGCCAAATGCAGACTAATTAACAGGTCCATCGGGAAACCACTGAACAGACTACAATTACAGACAATTGTCCTAGAGATTTTGCATCTATATTAACCAGACTAAGGACATATTATAAGGTCATGAAAATCCATCCCAATAATACCAAATCATATATCAAGAATTACCCTGACTCCCAACTAGCACCAAAACATCTTCGAATACCCAATTTTTACTACAAATGTCTTAAGGCTCAATATGCTGCCACTTCAGGGGATCCTTTATAACTCCGAGGCACCAGACCTGGCTGCTGCAGTCAACCGTTCTTTTAATGGCATCTAGAGAACAACCCTCATCCGTAGATATAACAACAGTTAAGATGGCCTAAAATGTATTTGCAAATTTCAATAGTGCTTTAACTGAGCACTAAATTTATCATGTTGCCTCAAATGACATCTATAGCTGTCCTGCACATTCTAATAAATAAAAAAAAAACTTCATTAGCATGAAGTGTACTACTTCATTTATTTGTTAAATATTCAGTATTGCATTGACAAAAAGATGTAACATTCTGTCGTTGTTGCTCTAGAAAGAGAAGAAATTGTGACGAGTAAATTACGGTTAGAGCCGTCAAGAGTTTTCATGCTGTCAAGAGGACTGTGGCATCATTTCCTGACATACCACTGATGCTGAGTTTCATATAGCAATCGTAAACAATTGAAAAAGATATGTTTCTGAGTATGATTGTGCAGCAACATGTTAATGTAGTTTTGAGTTCCATAGCGCTGCTAAGTTGAATTTTTTTAAATTGGTTTCAAAACCGACGGAAATTAATGTATCTCTTCTTATAACTATCCTGACAATAATGCTAAAGCAGTGCCAGGTGTTGTTTTAGATAAAGAAATTCTGCTAACCCTAATCTGTGGGCCATTTGGATTGAAAAGACTGTCTACACTCTTTAGTAAGTCT